GTTTCAAAATTCCTTATTATTTAGGTTTAAAATTAATAGGAAATTAACTAAAAAATCAGCCATATCATCGAGATAATAAATCAGGAAATTGCATCTTGAAATACTATGCGGTTTGCTGGAACAGAAGTGGCCAAAACTTCATCAATATAGCCTCCTTACCTCTACTGTCGGAGCAATTCCTTGATCTTCCAACGCATACTTTGCACCACGAATTGCTATCAGCCTCTCATGCAAATAAGTAGGGAGCCTGAACGTTTTCGAGTTATCAGCCAATGCTCTTGAAACGCCCTGGTTACAAGCAAATGAATGGAAGGCTCAATTCAGCTATGATCTGATTAGGTCCAAATTGCTGCAGGACAAGAAAATCTGCTCTAACCTGACGAATCCACCAATACACATAGGTGGAAATCCTAAATCCCCTTGAGGCATCAAACTTTTCGATCCCACGGAGTAGCCCTATCAGACCACCCTGCAACATCAATGGACACATTACATTTCAACATTTCAGGTACAGTAATTTACAGTGTAACAAATAAACAGCTGGAATATCCAGATACAAGTTAAATGATCGAGCTTATGTCAGCACCTGAATAAGGTCTGCCAACTCGACACCGAGGTTATCATACTTCTGGGCAATGGATATCACCAAACGGATGTTGCTCATTGTCAGCATCTCCCTCGCAAGAAACGACTCGCGCATCCTTGCACGCAGTTCAGGAGCTGATATCCGCAGTGATTGTGCCAGCTGCTTGTATGACGGCTCATTACCCAGTTTCTCCTTCAGCCTGAACTCAAAATTGGGGACAACGGGGAATCAGCTAGGGAATTGGAATCCATTAGATACACTCAATCTTCAACATGCAACTTTGATCACAATTATGTTACATGAAAATTAAAAAAAAACAATGAAAAGTTGTAATGTGTGCATACATTTCAGCCTATTGAGCATTTTAAGTGGTGATGTGTCATGTGTGTGACAATTATGTGTATCAATTTCCGACTCATTCATTGTTATATGTAGCTATATTAACAATGCAAACACTCTGGTTTTGGGAGATACGATGTCAACTTTCAAATGCTAATTACGTTGCAATTGATGGGCATGCATTTTGAATTGAAATGTTACTTTGATCTTTGGTGCTGAAGCCAGATGCCGTCCTTGATCTTCCTGGAGAGCTGGATGACCTGCTTGTGCGTGAGGAGGTCCTTACTGACGGTGCCCCGGAGGTAGATGCGGTTCCGGCTCTGCATCAGCTCCGGGCTGATGGTGACGTTCTTCCGGCCAGGTCCCCGCCGGCGGCCGCTCATCCGCCGCTGGCGCGCCGAGACGCCCGACCGCGCCACCACCACCACCGTGGCCTTGCTAAGCCTCTCGTCCTCCTCGTCCTCGTCCTCGTCCTCGAAGGGGAGCTCCCACTGCTTCTCGAGCATGGAGCGCTGCAGCAGCACGATGGCCTCGAGCGAGGACTCGAACTCGAACACCGTGTCCAGCTCCGGCGCCGGGTCCGCGGGTGGAGGCGGCAGCGGCAGCGGCGGGGCGAGCGCGGGCGCGGAGTGGTTCCTGAGCGCCCGGATGGCGTGCGCGCGCGCGTGGCCGGCGGGGGAGGAGGAGGAGGCGCGGTGCGCGACGACGGTGAGCTTGGGCGCGGCGGGCGCGAACTGCAGCGACGGGTGCGCGTCCGGGGGCGCGAGGTCGGTGGAGCCGAATGAGGTGGCGAGCAGGCGGTTGCCGGCGCTCAGCCCGATCACCGCCGGCGTCGCGGTCATGGCGTCCCCTTCACCTGCGCACGCCGCGGCCGTGCGTGAGTAACTGAGTACGTATGTATGCACACATGACACACCTACCGAAACTCCGAAAGTGATAGAAACAACCCGCGCAGGCCGAAACTGAGCGAACGCCGGACTTGTACCGTACCTCGGTACCTGCGCGACCGAGGCGGCGGAGGCAGCAACGCGAATGACGAGGAAGAGCCGGCGGCACGGGACAGCAAGCAGCAGAAGTGCGTGCGCAGCAAGCGGGCGGAGACGGCAGCGAGGAACAACTGAACTGAGCTTACTGGCCTCAGTGGAGGAATCAAAGAAGACAAGTGGAGGCAGGGAAGCTATGGCCACCACACGCCCGCCGGGAGAGAGACGGAGACTGACGAGGCGAGGAGAGAGAGAGGGAGGCGCTTGCTGGTCCGCTAGTGTTTTACTACGAGCAGGCGGGCACTGACGGAGGTGTTACCGCGCGCGCGCGGCATGGAGGTGGGGGCGGGGGGAGATTGCTCGGAGGCGGGGAGGGAGGGCGAGGATAGGGTGCTGGGAGCGAGGGGGCGCGAGGCCATTGGTGGGCGGCAGATATTCTGGCTGCCCCTCGTCGCTTTCCCGCTCGGCTCGTCGTCAATCGCCGCTGCTGCTGCCGTCGTGCCTCCGCCACGAGATCCGCCAGGGCGGCACCAAAAAGATCGCGCTGCCTCCACGCGGCACGCGGACCACACGGCGCTCCTCCTGGGGCCTGGTGGGCCTCGTCTTCTCCTCGTGTCCCTCTTTTTTCTTCTTCTATTCTAGCTTCGTGGGCTCGTGGGGCGCCCGATGGCCCACCAGCGGTGGCCGGTCTGTGCAGCTCTTGATGTTTTTTTTTCTCGTATATTTTTCAAGAAACAGAAATTAATCTTTGCTCAAAAAAAAAGAAACAGAAATTAATCATCAGATTTTTCGTATCCAATGGAAATCGACAGAGCAGAATGGGCAATACAAAAAGGTTGAAGCCATTTCTCTGCCAGGGCCAGGCCGCAGCTTCGGCCCTATTTTGGAAAGCCCAGTCCATAACCCTTCGCGACTATAGATGGCAGCGGATCAGGTTCGGAGCAGATATCCGTGAATTTCGGTTTCGATGCCTGGTTTTCGTCCACGGGTACCCGAAAACCCACGGGTTTGGAACGGATCTGATATTTCACCCGTGGAGCTCCATTGGGGCCCTGAAAGAATACAGCCCACTAGTGGCCATCAAACAACCCTAGGTATATAACGCTGGAATCCTCACTTCCTCAGCCGAGCCCTCTCCCTCAGCGCCACGCCTCACCCGCACCCACCCTACGGGCACTCGCGACTCGCGAGTCGCGTCCGCTTCCCCGCTCGACACGGTGAGCCAGCGACTCACGGCCCTCTCTCGTCGGTCTCGGCAGAAATCCCTCGGCGGCGGCACCGCAACGGCTGGCAGCCGGCACCGCCCACCCAGCGCGCGTGCGGCGTGCCAGCAGGGGCCGCGGGCCACTTGTAGGCGCAGGTCGCACCCAGCCGGGGGCAGAGCCGCGGAGGCGAGCAGGTTCGACGGCGCACGGATCCATGGCTAGCTGCTGCTGCTTGCTAATTTATTCTGTACATGGCTAGCTAATTTATTCTATACATGGCTAGCTGCTGCTAGTGAATTAGCAAGCCGCAGCTAATTTTGATCAAAACATTGGTAGTGAATTTTTCATCTTTTTCTGTACATGGCTAGCTAATTTATCTACAATGCTTTGCTAATTTATCATGTTTTGTATTGGTGGCCATGCTGATTTGTTGTAATTTTTTCGGGTTTCGGGGATCCGTGGGTTTTGGTTTTCAATCGAATTGCAGCCTGTTCGTTTGGCTGGTTCGTATCGTTGCTAGTTTGTTTACGTGAGATAGAAGCACTGATGGCTGTTTCATGTGAACAGTGTTTCTGTGAGAGGGCTGGCCAGCCCAGCCAGCCAGCCGCTCCCAGCCGAACGAGCCATTGGTGTTCGGGGCAGATTCTGGTTTTCAACTTGGGTTTCGGGTTTGGGTGCCCAGAGACTTCACCCGATCCGAATCCACCCCATTGCCGTCCTTATTCGCGACTCGCTTCCCAAGTAACTGTAGTGCCGTCGTGGCGCCGCCGCTTCGCCTCCCCGTCTTGGCGGCTCGGCGCCGCTCCTCCGCCCTGGACATCTCGCTCAGCGTCGTCGGCACCTCCACCTCGGCAGCCGCCACCTCCGCATCCCCCAGGGCGACCTCCACCTCGTCTTCCTTCCTTGGTATCCACCGCGATGTGAGTGCGCCCCTCAACTCCTCTCCTACTGCTTAGGGTTTCTATACTCGTACCTTGATACTTGCGAGGCCGTGATGCGTGTTCTCGTAGTTCTCCTAAACCCTTTCGAATAGAAATGATGCGGGTGAGTTTAGATGTGTATTAGATTTTTTTTCCTTCCTTGCTTCCATCTCTTGCACTGCATTTCGATGGCACACTCAACTGCTAGAAAATCAACTGGCTAAAATTTAAATTCACGGAATGGGTACTGGGATTGCTCTTGCTACTGGCGTACTATGATTTCTAAACAAACCACCAGCCCAAGTAGAAGTTACTACCAGCTTGTAATGTTAGCCCATCAACAGCCTAGGGAAGAAGGCCCAGCCCTAGCTTGCATGCCGATGTTTGGTTCGATTCGTCTTTGGTATACGGCGGCTGGCAGCGTCCTCCCAATCCCATTCATCCCCAGCCCTGCAGTCCCCATCTGCAGAGACGCAGCTAGGCGAGGCACCTGGTGGCCCTGCACGCAGCACAGCAGTGGCCAGGCCCCAAGCAGGTCGAGGCCAGCACGGAGGCTCCGGCAGCAGCAGCGTTCCCCTCCGCCTCCAACATCCAGGGAGCAAGCCACAGGTCCTTGTCCTGTAGCTGGTGCCTCTCCCATGGTTAAGATCCAAAAGTTTAGAAACATAAACCCAATTGGCACAGAATTAATCTGTTGCTCAGGTGCATCATTTAGTTCTGTCTATATATATGCATGTGATTGTTTTTTTGAAAATATTTTTACATTTACTATCATCACCAATTTTACATGATTATATGAGTTTATTTCCTGTTGTAAGCATAAGTATCGAACATGATAGTTATTGAGTAGTCAGCCCCCTTGTTTGGTCCATTTTGGAGGTCCACCACTGGTGCTACTTGAGTGAAACCTCACCGAATACTAATATTGGTCAATTTCCTGGTGTTTTTGGGCAGCAGCAAAGAGGCAATGGAGAGGGTTTCCGGCACAGAGTGCAGAGTGGGCAAGGCTGTTATGAGCAACAAGGAGGAGGAGAAAGAATGCCAAATAACCAAAGAAGAGAAGGGACGGAAGAAGGGGAAGAAACATAAGGACAAGGGTCGGGGTGGCGATTGTGAGGGCAAGGCTGTTATGAGCAACAAGGAGGAGAAAGACTGCCAAATAACCAAAGAAGAGAAGGGAAGGAAGAAGGGGAAGAAGCATAAGGACAAGGGTCGTGGTGGCGATTGTGATAGCTCAATTCATTCTGGTGACAGGAACCATAGCATTGAGATGGAGCAAGCTGATGTGTCAGCCACGATGGCTGAAAACCCCTGCTTGGAGCATGCAGAGGGTGCTATGAGCAAAAGCTTTGTGAAGAAACATAGGAAGAAAAAGAAGAAAGATAAAGAGGTTGAAACTAATGGCCAGACTCAGGTACTTGACGCTGATGAAGATGTTGGGTCAGAAGGTGTGGAGAGGAACAACGGAGAAAGAGAACATGATAGGAAGTCGAAGAAGCGCAAACGAAAGCATCAGGATGATGAGACTGCCTCGAGTGGTTCTTCTGGTAATAAAATTGTTTTAGGGAAAGATAAGAGGAGGAAAAAGGAGTGTTTAGTTACCTTGGACTTGGAAGAGGGCAATAAATCTGACATGTCAAAGATCGGGAAGAAGACAGAGAGCAAGAAAGAGAGGAGAAAGGAGAGAAATAATATTGGTGTTGACCTAAGACAAAATGCACCAGCTGGAGAGGGCAAGAATGGTAAGGGTATCAAAGAGAAAAAAGTGTGTGAGGATGAGAATGATGGCGGTGAAAGAGAAAAAGAAAACATGGCAAAGCGAAAGGACAAGGGTAGACGAGTGAGCTTCACTGATGATGTGGAGGTGTTTAATATAGGTGGCAGTGATGATGTAGAGGGTGATGGGAGTGGTGAAACTGAACTTGTGCATGGACGACGGTTTACCTCTGAGGAAGATGCGAAGCTAATGGAAGCCATGGTGAAATATGCAGAGGTTTCTTCTCTTGCTTTATAGTTTATATATTGCTGGGTTTCACAAATTATATGCATTCTATTTAGTGCCTTTGCTTGCTTATAAGTGTATGTGGATTACTATTATTTGTTACTAAGTGATGTGGATTATTATTCTTTAACTTACAAAGATGGACGTTGGCAATTCTTTTCCCAATTTTAATGTATGTACTACCCGATTACTGTCTGTTGTCTACTGAAATGTTTAACATATTGATGAAATGAACTTTTCATTTTGTACTTATATTTTCATGTACTGTTTATATAAGATACTTCAACTCAGTATTTTCAACATTCATGTAATAGCTATTGTTATACTTTTTATCTCTCCTTTTTTGCATTAAGTTTAATGGGAGAGTTCAGAATGTTCTTTACGTAGGCTTAACCTATAGTTTTAGGTATTCTCATGTTCTATATTTTATTAGTAACCAGTATTACATATATTAATTATTTTTGGAGTTTCGGTGCTATATCATGTTTCTACTTGTTCTGTTTACCAAATAAATAAATCGGTGGGTGGTGGCTATAGTTTACGTGCTCACCATGGTTCACACTTCACTTCTTTTAATGTTTTCCTCAATATAGATGAAGCAATTAGGAGAGAAAGGGTTAGAGATGATTGGAGATTGTATTAAACATCCAGAGCTCAGGGGTTGCTGGGTTGAAATAGGTAAGCCATAAACATTTGGAGCTATCTATTTTACATTCCCTCTCTTATACTGGCTTTCCCTTTTGTAATTAGTATATCAGTTACACATGTAAACTTGTAAGCACAAATTGAAATCAGTCTTTAGGCTCATATGCTGAAATCAATAGTTTGATTGCAAATTTTATTCTTGCCGAATATGCACTTTGCTGATAATTTAGGAATTTGGCTTGTGAACACTGTAAAATGAATCTTGTCAAAGTCTATGTTTTCCTGATCTAGTTAGCAGATGGCTTACTAAGTATTTGTTGCAGCAAAATCATTATCTCATAGACCCGCAAAAGCCGTATACAAACGTGCACGGATCTTACTTCAAAGGAGTGCTGAACGTAAATGGACTGAAGAGGAGTACGAGATAGTTCGACGGTAACATAAAATCCTCCTACTGAGAATTTTGAACTTTAGTTTAGTTTTCCATTATATATACTAAGTTTACTTCACATTTCTACATTTTAGTTTTAGTTGTAGAGCTCAACCAAAAGGTTGGATTACATGGAACACTAGTCCTTAATTCTATCTTGATTCTGTGTAGCATATTAATAAATGTGCTAAGGGATGACGAGATAGCTGCTAGCATCCCTGCATTATTGAAGTTAGATTAACTACTCCCTCCGTTCCAAATTGTAAGTCATTTTGGCTTTTCTAGGCATAGCTTTTGCTATGCATCTAGTTTAGATATAAACTATGTCTGGATACATAGTAATAACTATGAATCTAGAAAAGCCAAAACGACTTACAATTTTGGAATGGAGGAGGGAGTATGATAGCATATTAACTGTAATGTGCTATATCGTTCTGATGCTCTCTGCCTCCCCCATTTCTAGCCTTAAAGACATTATTGACAAACTTAGCGAAAAATGCAATATTTAATTTGGTACTGTGTTTAAGATTAGTAATTTCCTTTAAGTTGAATTTTCTTTGTAACTGATGATTTTTTCTTGGATATGATATCCTATCTCTTTGCGTCACTGTATATCCTGTACCTGCTGCGTAATATAAAGCCTAGCTGTCATTCACATTGCAGCATACTTTCTTGGCATTTATTGTGAGAAGTAATGTTAGGATCTTATTTTATGATGACTGGCTTCAGGTGATTAAGATTGCCATGCATGACACAGATTTGTTGAAAAGAATGGCAGAAATTGGAGGGTATTAGCAAAAGAACTTGGAAAGAATGAAATCCATGTAAAAGATACTTGGAGACGAATCAAGCCCAAAAATTTGAAAAGAGGTGTCTTCCACTGTATAGCCTTTAAGTTTATCACAAGTTAGCTAATTCATTAGCCAATATGCATTTTCATCATTACAACTGTACCTCCTTTTTCATTGTTGTGTTTGGTGTACAATATATCAGAATGTTTTTTCTTGCATTAGTTTAATGGCACTCATTTGGGTTAATAAAAAACAAGATTATGGGGATATAAAATAGACTTTTACTTTAGTTTATTTCAGTTTTGTTCCATAACTTATGTTATATTACAGAGATATTTGCATAGCATGTGTTCATGCTTTGTCATATATCTAATTTGAAACTCGGTATGAGCCATACAGGGTTCACAATAGTTACACCTTCATCTTTGGAGTAGGTACCCCTTATTTTGGGTGCAGATGGTTAATTTGAGCACACTATTAAAAAGTAGAGGCATGGCAAATGGCAACAACCACGAATTTCATTTGGTTTGTGTCAGCTTTGAATGACAGGCACCTGTTTGGAGAAAATGTCAAAGCATTGGTACTTCTGTATAACATGGGTAGACTGCATGTGTATTTGTATCTTCAGTTACAATGTGTTGAGTCAGTTAAATTTAACCAGGTTATAGTTTCAAAGGATGTACAAATTAGATTTTGTGAAAGACCATAAGTTTTAAAGGATTTACTAATTAGATTTTGATGTAAACAGGGTTTCACAATGCAAAGGATGTGTCCTAAGTTTTTTCTACCGTGAATTGATGTTTCATTATGTAATATAGAAAGATAATACTTTGGTGTGCTAACTTGTCCATTGTGTTTCGGTCCCCCCTCTCTCTTAATTGGTGAAATGTTCAGGGCATTGGACTCAGGATGAGTACCAAAACTTATTTGATTTGGTAAATTTGGACTTGCGTGTGAAAGCCCATAAAAACTTCGATCCTGGTCACCGTCGGGTGTGTAGTTCTTTATCCTTGTGCATATTTTATATCAGTTTTATGTTTACCATCTTCCATTAGTGCTCTTTCACATTGATGTATCCTTTATTCCATATAATCAAGTGTACTCATTTGTGACAGATAAGAGATAACATTTCTTGGGAGGCTATCAGTGATAAATTAACCACTCGTAATAACCACGACTGCTGCAAGAAGTGGTTAGTGTTGCCAGCCATTTAATGCATAACATAATTTCCTCCTTGAATATGGGCCTAATTCTGTATATTTCAAGTTTTTCTGCATTTTCTTTTTTGTTGGTCTGCCTTGTTGTCCTCAAACTGATTGGGTATCAGTTCTGTTCGTAGAAGTGCAGTGCGTGGACGCGTGATATCTCTTTGGCATATTTATTGTTAAGACATTTTCTAGTGAGGCTGGTGCTGATACCTGGCATTGGTACAGACTCTATTGCAATGTGAATTATTTTTCACATTGTCTAAATCTATTGCAATGTGAATTATTTTTCACATTGTCTAAACTAACATGGTTTGGTTGTATCGAAACTCTTGTAAAATGATTAATAGCTTCAAAAATGTTTGAGATTTTATTAGTGTCGGTTTGGCATGCTTTGGTCACTGAAACCCAATCCTTTGTATTGCTAATTTTGGTTTGTTTGTCCTAAATTTTCAGCTTATGTATGAAGATACTATCTTCGGACATATGTAGTCATTAAATGAAATTTATTCATACATAACAGGTACCAGCAATTAGCATCACCACTGGTTAAAGAAGGAATCTGGGCAGATACAGATGATTATCTGTTAGTGGAAGCGTAAGTTTCTATGGGTTACCTATCAAATATTGTAATATTGTCATAACAAAATGTCATCTGCTTGTCGTTGGGATTATGATTGTGATATGGCCTGAAAGTGCCTCCGAACTTTGAGGTATAAATCTATTATTTCAATAAGGAAAATTTGTGTATTTGATCCCTCTGCTTATGAGTTAATGCAACTTACCCCTTATACTTTTAAAACCAGACAAATTATCCTTTCTTCTTCTATACCAATTCAAAATAGGTCTAATACCAGACATGGAATTTTATTACCCTTCCTTTTAATTTACTCTTCTTTTCATGCACAAAATCTGAAACGAATAGAATGAAATGCAAGTTCTTTTAGATGAAGGAGGTGTGTACCTGAACAATATTTACCATGTTCACCATGATAAACTGATAATGTGTGGCTGATATGTTTGAATTGTAGGCAATATGCCTCCTGTTAATGTTGCTTGGTATAGCATTGTCTTGTTGTTTCTTGGTAGCATTTTTCTTTTCTGTCTTTGTTATCACGATACATTATTTGTTGCCTGCACTAAATTTTCTTAACAATAAACCAGGCTTCAAAATGTTGATGCTGTTTGTGTTGAAGATGTTGACTGGGAGAACCTTCTTGAGCATAGGTGAGTGTTGATTGCTGATTGCTGACTTAGCTTCAATCTTTCAACATAGCTTGTTGCTAGAATTTAGTAGTTTTGGTATATGGCTCCCATTTTCATTGTTTTTTTAACATGAAATTTAATTGAGTTGATCCAGTCCTCAGTGATTTCAGCGAACTACAGATTATTTAGTGCTATTCCATCTGATCCGATGAATGTTAGATTGCCTCTTCCTTTCTGAGGGGAAAAAAACATTTGTTCTGAAAGGGCATTAGCATTACAACACTTTTAACAGAGAACCTTTGAGCTCTTGGGGACCATAGAGTGACTGCCTAGTTCATATGCCATTAATTCTTTCTTGCTGAGGTCCTTGCTTGTGTTGCCTTGCATTTTCCTGTGCTTGAAATTTGAAAACCTTGCAGATGACCTAGGTCTTCCTTTTAGTAAAGATTCCAGCATTATGGAGATTGTTTTTTCCTACCAAGACTACTGTGTAGCAAATCGCCTATTCGGCTAAACTTGCAATATTCTGTTTAATAGATAGATAGATTATAAAATTAGTAACAAACTGTACTCATTAAGCGATTTTTTTCAAAAAGAATGGAATGCTTTCCATATATCAAAGCTAAGTGTCATCGGACCACTTTGGTTAGTGGTTACAGTAACAGGGTGTTTTCTCTTACTTAGGTCTGGGGAGCTTTGCCGTCAAAGATGGAACCAGATGGTCCGCGTGATCGGTGGCCACAGAGATAAGCCTTTCATTGAGCAAGTGGAAGTGCTTGCAAGGCGGTACTGCCCAGAAATGCTTCCGTACAGGAAATCAAAAGCAGGTGACTTATCGGCCGACGAACTTGTTGGAGTCTCTGACTTGTAATGGCTAGCATAACCCCTCAGCATGTGCTGTTGTAAAATTGTTTAGCTTTTGTAATATGGTACAGTATGGGGATCTGTAGAAATGTTAGCAGCATATATGGTTCTAAAGCTTCAGTCAGACCTTCAGTGCACACTGCCAAGGTGTCAGCACTGTGACCACAAACTCTGGTATTGTCGAGGGCTTCTGTATCTGGATTTGAAATGTTGCTCCACTGAATTTAGTTCTCAATGCTGAAATGACGGATGTTTTGTCGTCCAACTAATCATGATTAAGGGTTAATTGGTCCCCTGACCTTTGATTAGGCACTAAGACAAAGATTAGACCGACTAATTGTCTGATTGGGTGGTGGATGACTAGTGATGCGATCTGAGCTTGGCAGTTGCGCAGTGTGCACTTCCATTTGTCCTAAGTAAAAATCTTGCCGTCTTCCCTTCTCCCTTCACAGCTGCCGGCGGCCGCCGCCTCGCCCCTTCCCAGCTGCTGCCACCTCCAGCTCCGCGGGATTACGAAGATAAACTCCTCCAATGTTTAGTGTTGTCCTCCTACATCATCCTGTCTTTGCTCTACTACTGCTCTGGGATGGATTCGGCAGTTCTGGACCAGGACCAAGACCAACTATACAGACGACTGTACTGCCCACTAGGACCAACTAGGCTCGACTAATCGAGTTGGTCCACAACTAATCATTATTAGTCGATTTTGGTACCATGGCGACTAGGTTCGATTAGACAAGTACGGTAGAAAACTTTGGTGCTGGTGATACAACATGTTGGAAGTGTTGGTGGATTTTGAGAGATAGATGTAAATGTTTTATCATTTTGGTGCCGATTGAATTGCTTATTTAGAAGGGGGTAATATAGAATTTCCTACTCATCTGCCATCATTTCAGGCTTGGCCACCCATTCTGTACTGTGTACGGACGGACTATGGAGCCAGGAGCCATACATCCACGCTGACATAAAACACAGAAAATCCAGTGGATGAGCTTGCCATTTGGTTATATGGTGTCAGAAATGGTGAGTGTGTTAGATCCAATAGACAATAATTTTATTACATGGAATGGAGCGCAAAGGAAACGGAGGGTAATGAAATGCGACATGCAATCTCAAGAAACTGCAACATGCCATCCCAATCAGTTAATCTAGAGTTCTAGACACTATTCATTGGTGACCTTCAAGCACAATAATTTTTTTTAAGACACAAACACTCATGTACGCATGTACACTCTTCTTGTAGTAAGCATTTGCATCATGAATTTGTCCAAGTTACCAAGTACACTAACCAAATTATGGCCATGTTTGAAACACCTTAAGCTTTACAATAAGCTAGCTTTTTTGACAGCTGCCCATAAATATGGTTTGTTGGAGAAGCTCATGCTAGATGTAGTATTTAGGCTTTTTTACTACTTTTTTCAAGGAGCTTATCTGTAAAGATCCGTATGTCAAAAGGCCACCATGTCTGAAGTGAGAGGGGCGCCATCATCGCTAGGAGAGGAGGGCCCTTAACATCCTTGTTTCGGAAAGAGAACGAGAACATGGAACAAGAACGAAAACATGGAGCTACACATTACAATGTAATTGTACTACGGGATGTTCTCGGAATGGGAACATAATTGTTTCTGGAAAGGAATCATGACTATTCTTTAAACGAGGAACGTCGCTATGTTTCACGTTTCCACCTGCTAAAAGAGAGGGCCTCCGTCGCAAGGAAGAAGGGGCGTTGCTCATTGGCAGAGGCCTCATTATCTCCATCCTCCATCTCCATGTTAAGGTGAATCTCTGTTGGATCCATAGTGACCTGGCAAGCACAAGGGGTTCAAGCGGCCTAGGGGCACAAGGTCACCGTTGGCTGATTGGAGTAGTGGGCAATGCCGCAATGGTGAAGCTGCAGCAAAGAGGACATTTACCTTACGACTTCATAGACTTTGTATCATATAGGGATACATATATGATGAAAATTTAGTTGAATTCATTTTTTATTTTTAAGGGGTGCATATGTTACTCCATTTGTCCGAGATGCATAGGCTAACGTGAAAAATAGACTATATGAGATGTGCCTATGTGTTTGGCATGGCATTAGTTTTTTTAATGAGAAGCGGGTGAAAAATACTAGGGATGCGCGGGTGAAAAATACTAGGGATGCAAGGCAGGTTACCCGTAAACCCACAAATAGGCTAAATTTTTGCAGGTTACTTGCAAACCGGCAAAAAATCAGCTTATTTACATGTTCATGAACAACCCTCCTTGAATCTCTAAAAAAGACTTCTCGTACACGGAGTGCTAGCGCGTTTAGGCATGACATTAGTTTATTTATCAATGAAGTAGAAAAAAATACCATTAAATTATGGTCCATAATACTAGACCACTTCTTTATAACACTTTGTTTTTTTACTTTGAATTGAATTATGTGGAGTACTGACATTTTTTTATGACTGTCGGCTTGGCACCCTTCTCCTAGCTAGATCTGATCAAACATCAGGTTAGACTGAGAAAAATGGTCAGGTCAAAATCTTTACCCTGAGCTTGATCTAACATGCTGGCAGGTCGGGCCAGGCTATTTCTCAAGGTTTTTTAAGATTTCACACTATGTGTCAGGTTTTTTAAGTTATATCATGCCAGAAAAAAAATCATGGCCCACAGTCAGGTCCACGAGTAAGTCTACTCCTAGCTACTCTCTTCGAATAAATCAATTTCTATAATTACCTACAGTCAACTTTTAAGATGTGGCTAAATTTATAGAAGAAGTAACATCAAATAAAAATATTTGAGTGAAATACACTGGTGGCCCTTTAACTTGTCGGCATGTGGCAGTCCGGTCCACGAACTTGCAAACGCGAAAAATGGGCCCCTGAACTTGTCAATTTGTTCACCGCAGGCCCATTTCCCATCCGGCGCGGCCTCCGGGCGACGTGGCAGCACGTGCGCCGCACGTTTCAATACCGAACACAGGTGACAATATGCATCTAGGCCCCTCCGCATCTGCCCATCTCCAAAATCCTGTCTTCTTCAAGTTCATCGTGCTGGGGGCGAGGCGGCGACGGGGGCGTGGCGGCTTGCGACGGAGGCAAAAGTCGACGACTTTGCAAGATTCTACGGAAGAGCAATGACGAGACGTACCTGGGGAGCGTAGGTTTCCGCCGCGATTGCGATGAATCTGCGGCATGGCGCCGTGCCTGCGATCGGAAGGGGAACTACCGCCGGACTACGGTTAGTCAATCAAAGCTCAAAACCTTCTTATTAGTGCCTTTAGGATGTGGTGGTGTGCATGTACTTGTTCCTAGTGTAGGCCAATTTCGTTTGTTTTGGTGGCTAGGGTTTAGGGTTTCTCGTGTCGCCTAAATAAATCAAGTAGTAATGAGCATCATTTGGTTCAATGTAGGCGATGCTGAGAACAAATTCACTGTTGAGGTGTACCACTGTGGTTTCTTTGTTGGTCAGGATTCGAATAAGGCTTACATTGATGGAAAAGTGGACTGGTTTGACCATTGCGAGGTAGATACCTGGTCTCCATTGTGGTTCTTGGATTTTGTTGATGAGTTGAAATGTCCTAAAATATATGCTCTGAAGATATATTGGTTGCTTCCTGGAATGGATCTTGGTCGTGGCCTTAGGGTGATTGAGTCAGATTCAGAGACATTGGTGATGACTGGCATTGTTGACAGGGTGAAGAACCTTATTGTCTATTTTGATCATGATAACAGCATGTCTGGCATAAACTAGGATGACATAGTGGCAAACCCAATTGCATCATTGCCCGAAGTAATCAGTCTAGCCAAGGGAAGATTTGTTGGGAACGAAGAAGGAGAAGAACTGCCACCATTTGAAATGGAGCAGGATTCGGTGCAGCAAGATTCAGTGAAGCATGATGTGCATAGAGATGATGGTGACAGTGAAGATGACTTTGAAATGGAGCAGGATTCAGTGCAGCAAGATTCATTGCAGCATGATGTGCATGGAGATGATGGTGACAGTGAAGATGACTTTGATTTCAGTGATAGTGATTATGATTTAGAGGGAGATGATGATGATATTTTTGTGGACTATGTTGATGAGGATGCCACAGAGGAGATTGGCAGCAAAGGGCAGCGAAAAGGTAAGGGCAAGAAGGCTGTTGGTAGCAAACTGAAGGGGAAAAGGTTTCATCTTTGGCTGGTTATGGAGAGGAGTCAACAAATGAATCTGAGCTAGAATTGTCAGAATCTGATGAAGAAGAACAAGGTCTAAGGTTTAAGTCATTCAGAAGTGAAGACATAGACAATCCCATCTTCAAAGTTGGCATGATATTTGAATCAGTTGAGATACTCAGGAAGGCTATCACACAATATAGCATGAAGCAGAGGGTAGAGATCAAGATGCCTAGGAATGAGAAGAAAAGGTTGAAGGCTCATTGTGCAGATGGGTGTCTTTAGAATTTATAAGCTTCAAGTGATAGCAGGACTCAGGGGTTGATGATCAAGACTTATCATGGGCAGCACACTTGCCAAAGGAAGTGGACATTGAAGAGATGTACCTCAAGGTGGCTTGCTCATACATACTTAGAGTTATTTCGGGCTGACCAGAAGATGACACTAAATAACTTTGCAAGGACAGTCCAGAAGGAATGGAATCTGACACCCCCGAGAACTATACTTGCTAGGGCTAGGAGACTTGCTATGAAGGTGATACTTGGTGATGAAGAAGAGCAGTACAATAAGTTGTGGGATTATGCACATGAATTGAGAAGAAGCAATCCAGGGAGCACTTTGTATCTTAATCTTGCTGGAAACCTATTCTCATCTTTGTATGTTTCTTTGGATGCCTGCAAGAGGGGCTTCCTAGCTGGTTGTAGACCTATAATCTGCCTAGATGGTTGCCACTTTAAGACTAAACATGGAGGGATAATGCTCACTGCAATTGGAATTGATCCAAATGACTGTATTTATCCAATTGCATTTGGAGTTGTAGAAGTTGAGTCTCTGGCTACTTGGAAGTGGTTCTTGGAAACATTGAAACAAGATCTAGGCATTGAAAACACATACCCATGGACTGTCGTGACTGACAAACAGAAGGTACCAGCTTTTGCACATCTTCTTAACTTGCAGCTGTAGTATTCATGCTAATCTGTTCTTGTCCATTTGCAGGGTCTAGTACCAGTTGTTGCACAGGTTTTTCCAGAATCTGAACACAGGTTCTGTGTCAGACACCTATATTCCAATTTCCAGATGCAATTCAAAGGTGAGAACTTAAAGAACCAACTCTAGACTTGTGCTAGGTCAACCACAGTAGTTAGATGGAATGAGAACATGGAGAAGATTAAGGTCCTTAACCAGAAAGCTTTTGAATGGCTAGAAAAGATGCCACCAAATACTTGGGTTAGGGCTTTCTTTAGCGCTTTCTCCAAGTGTGATATTATACTAAACAATAGTTGTGAGGTGTTTAATAAATACATACTAGATGCTAGAGAAATACCTATCTTGAGCATGTTAGAGCAAGTCAAGACACAACTGATGACGAGGTATCATACAAAGGACAAGGATGTAGGGACTGTGTGGGATGGTACTATTTGCCCCAAGATAAGGAAGAAACTTCATAAGAATTCTCAGTGGGCAAACACCTGTTATGCACAGCCTGCTGGTAATGGCATTTTTCAGGTCAATGTGTTGGACAGACAATACACAGTGGACC